TTTGTAGGAAATGAAAGCGGCGTTCGTGGAAGAAGCCAAGGAATCCGGCAAGCAACAATTACTTCTTACCGCTGCTGTATCAGCAGTGAAAGAAACTATTGATGAAAGTTACAGTGTTCGATCCCTTGGAAAGTAAAGAAATTGCTTTTCATACATTGACATTAAATTTAACACGCAATAAAATTTACAATACTTCAAATATATTTTTGTAGCGTTGAAAATTTTCAGAAGTTTGGATCTTCTATTTCTGATGTCGTATGATTTACACGGCAGTTGGGAGAAGAACGTCGACTTACACGCAAAGTTGCGTCCGACGGAGAGAGAAACATCCGGAACTGGCGTCTTTAATACCGTTAGTTCTTGAAATATATAAAAATTTCTAATTTTTTCTTGCTTGCATGAGACGAATTCATGATTATTTCAGAAATTTGCAGCGAACTATTGGGCAAAGAGAGGTATGCCGAAACAGAAAATTATCATTGGAATTCCGACTTACAGTCGGGGATGGACATTAAGTAATTCTTCGGAAACGGCAATTGGAGCGGAGGGTGGTCGTCCATCATCGCCATCGACAACGAATCCCGCTGGCGGTACTGCGGCTTATTGGGAGGTTTAATTTAAAGTTCTCATTTACTTTTAAATACATTTCTTGCTGCTGATGAATTTCTCAAATTCCATTATTAATGAATGTAACCATTTTAAGATATGCAAATATGTGAAAGAAGGTGGCAAGGAAACGGTGGATAAAAAAAGTGTTGGAGCGTATATGGTAAAAGGAGATCAGTGGCACGGTTACGATAATGAGGAAACTATCAAAATTAAAGTAATTTTTATTGTTCTTGATGTTATTGATAGTGAAAAAAAAATAATTTAAGAAATAACGTTGCAAAATATATTTTTTTTTATTTTTAATCTAAATAGTTCAATAAATTTCATAAAGTTTAACGAGAAGAAATTAATTTTAGAATTATTGGCGTAATTACGGTTTATTAATTAAATTCAGTTTGTGTTTTATGTTTGAAACAACATCTAAAAAGTGATTGGTTCGCATGATTGAAACTTTCAGATGAGATGGTTAAAAAAGAACGGTTATGGCGGTGCCTTTATGTGGACTCTTGATTTTGATGATTTCAAAGGTACAAGTTGTGGCAAAGGTCCATATCCACTGTTAAATGCTATCAATAATGGGCTTGAAAGTGAGGTAAGACATGTTTCAAAGAAATATTTTTAACAATTCTGTTTTTCTTTCAATACGTTTGGATTTAAATTATGCTGATGTTTGTAAATAAATTAATAAAAAAAAAGGCGAATGGATGAATCAGAATAGACTTTCGGTGGGACCATACGGAAAAATGACTCTATGAATTATAGGATAAATAGAATTTCTGTCCGAAAGTGATGACTCACTAACTTTTGATTAGCTGGATGGGGCATCAATTTCTATATTGACGTTGTTCAAACAAAATCTTAAATTTTTAATTATCTCTTGAAAATTAATTTTTAAAATTTAACACATTTTTAGCAAACACCATCAACAAGAGCAGTACCGGAAACTACAGAAGACACTGAAGTTGAAACAATGACGGAAGCACCGGGAACTGCAAATGA